TATAATAGTAGTAGTAGTAGTAGTAGTAGCAGTGGCAGTGGCAGTGGCAGTGGCAGTGGCAGTAGCACTAGCAGTAGCAGCAGCAGTAATGGTAAAAATAAGAGCAATAGTACGAGTAAGAGTAAGTGCCGACATGAGGAACAAGGGTAATATAGTCCTGCTGGCCATGCCCACATCCACCCAACCTCAAACAGCCTCCCCACCTCCCTGTAGCCTTCTGCCACAAACTGCGTTGCTGTCACGGAACTTGAAATGAAGTTACCATAAAAGGGGTATATAGTAGATAGTAGGGTTTCCTCAGAAATGAAGTTGCCACAATAGGGGTATATGGTAGATGATCGGGTTTCCTTATCACATCAAGTTAATCTAAGTTCCTTAACAGCAACCCAGCAAAGGCTGAGGAGGCAGAGCAGGATGGTGCCCGGCACACCGCCCACTGCACCCTCTGCGGCGTTGCCTACTCCCTGAACCTGGGCCGTTATGCTTTCGTTGGATGTAGGCAGTTCAGACTTCAAGTTTGCATCCTCTCAAATTAATTCTTGCTCGAGCACCTGCCATCTGCGCTTGAAGCCTTTGGCTCCCGTGAAAGATAGGGATGCGCATACTTACGCAGCAGAACACACCGGCAGGAAGAGTACTGTAGAGCGGGCTTGTTGTGGCCAAGCTATATTTCGGAGCTGTTTGTTATGAGGATCAAAATGATCAGATCTAGGCGGGCCAAGAAAATCTGCATTCGAGTGTACATGGGGATGAAGAAATGGGGGGAGATCCTTGTTTTGTAGTATTTGTTGAGGCTCCCTGTTTATGGAAACCCCCAGGTAGCTACCAAAAAAAAATATGCGGGCTTAGGCCCATGCTGTGAAGTCTTTTCGGACCAGTAGAATTGCAGCTTCATGTGAACCAATAGTAGATGGGTGGTTGTCGAAATTATGGTCCTTTTTTGAATACCCTAAATATTAGGTGCCGCATTATAATAGGGATCCAAAAGGGACCACAACTTTGACAACCACCCATATAGCCTCTACACCATGCCGCCGTAGTTGCTCTGGCCCAATCCATGGCGGCCGTTCAAGGGTTTGAGCATCGGAAGCGCACATTTTTGGCCAAGTGCGATAAATCCAGCGCCGGGGAAATTGATGAGAAGGCTCGGGAGGTCTGCGCGGAGCTCAATTTGCGGCCGGCCTTCTTCACCACTTCGAGCTGCGCAGGCCGAGCCTTTATTTGGCAAGGAGATGGTGTGAAGAGCACTGAATGCTTCAGTCGCTGGAGGGTGACGCATGACCTGGTTGAGGACGCGTCTGCCTATTTTGATTTAAGCACATTAGAGGGGCGCAGCAAGGTGACGCTACCCGCAGCCAGCGCTACAAGCAACTGCTGCTTTGCTGCGCTCTCGGCCATGTGGCGCTCGCAAAGAACCCTGGGTCAGGGGCGGAAGCATCAGCAGCCTCAGCGAGCAGAGTTGGCGGAAGCGAAGCTGAGTGAAGAGGACAAGGCCTGCTATTGGCTCCGATTCGAGCCTTTCATCCTCCACGTTTGCTGTCGAGACCTGGTGGCTGCAGCTGCTCTCATGGCTGCGGCTCGAACGGTCTTCAAGAATGTGGGGCTCCAAGGCTGGGGCGACCAGTCCAAGGATGCCAAGCTGATTGTTGCTATTTGGGGAGATGAGGGTTTGGATATGCCCCTTACTGGACCCAGTGGGCTTCCACTCTTCCAGGGACAGGATCAGTGGCTTCAGAGCTTAGTCAACAGCCGCCACCATCGAAACTGGGGGAAGATCGACCGCTTCACAGCAGCCCTTCGGCAAATGGAGGAGCCCCGGTCTGCCTCAAAAGAAAGTGTCTCTGAACCCTGGGTGCCCTCTCAAGGGATGTTCAGGAGCTTGTTCCCCGAAGCCACCCCAGCACATTTTTGCCGCCTTTCCGAATCCCAGTAAGTTTGTCACTGTATGTGCAATCCTTGTGCATAGCTTGGCTTTTCGCTACGTGAAAGCGCTCGTTTGGAGGACCCTCCACCTTCCGCAGAAGTCTGTGCACTGGAGACCACTGAGGAGAAGGAGACCCAGGTTCTTCCCCAAACCTGCCACACTCCCAGATTACTACGCCGCACGTCAGAGGATTCATAGTCGTGGGCAATAAGGTGACATGGTCCCTATATATATGATCCGCATGTAGTATATTCCAAGTTCCCTTATTCCCTACTAACCCCCCCCCTCACCCCCCCATCCCCCCCCGCCCATTGGGGTCTTGGGACTTCTGCGTTGACCTTCAGGAGACGAAGCACTTCGACGTCGTGGGTGACATCGCCATTGTGAGTCTCGGCCAGAATGAGGCTGACACAATATATACCCCCAATATGGGTTTAGGCTTTAGGGTGTAGGGATGTTTAGGGTTTAGGCTGACACAATATATGCACCCAATATACTATAGTCTTCTAGTCCCATTGGGATAATGGACAAGAAAATGGAAACTACTATTTAGGGTTTAGGGTTTTGGGTTTAACCCGATATATACTATAGTAGCTTCAATTTTCCTCAATATCCTAATAGAGCCCCCATATAACCCCAATATATAACCCAATATACTACAGTAGTTTCCATTTTCTTTTCCATTATCCCAATAGAACCAACCCCAATATGGTCTGAGGAAACGCCACCAGACGCGCCTGTGGATGCAAGAAGGAGGCCTACAGGCTGACAAGGGCAAAGGAAAGGACAAGGCCGGCACTTTTCTGCTGCTCAACTGGGGTTGTATTGGGATAATGGAAAAGAAAATGGAAACTACTATAGTATATTGGGGTTACACTGAGGTTATATTGGGGTTAAATTGGGGTTCTGCTATCGTTGTCTACGCTGTCCTAGCCACCCTGCTTGTTTTGAAGGCATGATTCTTGTCGTTGGCATTCCTTTGGTAAAACGTGGGTATTCTATTGCCGTCAAATTAGCCGCAACCTCTCTAACCGCTCCTGCTGCTCCTGCTGCTGCTGTCCCTTCTGCAACTGCTCCTCTTCGGACATGGAGAGGTCGGGCAGGTTGAGGGATTGAGGGGCTCCAGGCAGGAGCGACGGAACGAACCAGCGGGCAGTGGCGGAAATCAAGCCACGCTCCCTGCAACATGTTGACGTTGGCTTTCTTTGCTGAGATTCTTTGCATGGCTCTTGCATGATATCCCTACCGCTGATGCTGCAGGGCAAGGACGATAAGGGCAAGGGCAAGGGCAAAGGCAAGGGCAAGGACACTGCGCAGGCAGGGAGTCGGAAGATCAGAAAGGGGCCCCACTTTGGCATCCTCATATGAGTATTCGCACTTGGTTGGTATTCAAGCAAGGTTCATTCTTTTCCTTTCATTTCGGGGTTCTCAACGCTTGTCTGTCCTTCTGCAATGGCTTATCCCTTCGTGTTCGGCAGGCTTGCATCACCCATTTGATGCTAGCAAGCTCCGTGCAGGTTCCTCCTGGTACGGTGGCCAGCGAGGGCATTGCACAGCCATCCCACATGAATCTAGGTTGCAAAGTTATATTGGGGTTACTACCTGATTGCTACATATACCCTTTTTGGTTGCTTATTCTAAGTTCCTTTGCAGCAACCTAGGAACTTCTTCCTCGTCTCCCAGCAAGGCCTGGAAAGGGTTTTGCCTTTGTTGCAAACTGCTCTGTTCATGTCGTTCCTTGGAGCTGTGTTTAGTGTGAAGACAGTTGGTTCTGGCTAAATGACACTTGTCTCAATGAGGTATCCAAGGCACGTCAGTGCCTTGTCACTACCACGTCCTGCACATGGACCAGAGGCTTGCGAAGCGGGTTTGTGTGGATGACATCGCAGCTTGGGATCACATCAATTTCTTTCAATTTGACTTAAGACGCCCCTTGTCTTCAGGGCTTGCATTGCTGAAGCCTTAGGAAACCATCACGTTTCAGCTGTGCCACATGTACTCGCGGGCCGACAAGTCCGTCGGGTATGCCACACCGGCTTACATGGCCGATCATGCTTGCCACTGGGTACGAAAGCGTAGATGCGCAGGCTAAGTTCCGTTCTCTTAAGTTTCACGCACGATGGCTCAGGTGAGCGCGGCAAGCATTACCTTGAGGCCTGATGGGCCATGCTACAGAACTACATGTCGAGCTGTAGTGCGTTTGGATTATCCACCAAGGTTTGGGCTTTGGGTGCACCCTCTCAAAAATTGGCAAGGACCACAAAGAACCTCCCTTCGATCTTATCTACCTCAAACAGTATGCAGGATCCGTGTAAACTTAGTTTCTTCAAGCAACTCATAGCTTTACTCGCTCCTTCTGACTCTGGCAGAATCGCTGAACAGTCTTCAAAAACTGCTCATGCGCTTCCACAAGACGCATCATTCCTTCCAGAAACACCCAAAGAGGCTAATTTCGGCACCTCCGATGTCATGTCCACGGCGGGTTCCTCCCTCAGCGAGGACTCGCACATGCGAAGCTCTGAAGAGCCTCTGGTCGTGATGGAACCTTCATTCATGAGTATCCAGACTAGTGACTAGTATTCAGATTGATCATAGTGATATACAAGAAGGAATGAACGAGGGCAGGAATGTTTGCTAAGAGGCAGCGCAGAACCGTTGCCACAGATCAGCGGCAGGAGAAGCAGGAGGAGAGCTTGCGGAAGCAGATTGAGGAAAGAACGAACTGGCTCAATGCTCGTACGCAAAACAGTGCGGAGCTCAAAGTCAGAGTAATGGTGACGCAAGGGCCTTTGGTTGTTGTTGTTGTTGTTGTTGTTGTAGTAACTCATTGCTATCAGTACACCTAGATACACCTGCTGTAGTACGGTTGTGAGATACTGTGAGTGTGGTATTACCAACAGTGTCATCATTGGTACCACGAACGCCACTACAAATGCTTTCACTGCTCCTCCTGTCCCGATTGCCGCCGCCATCGCCACCACCACAACAACTCGACCTCGACTGCCATCACGAACGGGACCAGGGAACGAAGACGAGGATGAGGAGGAGAAGGAGCAGAATGAGGAAGCAGGCAATGACCGCGGCGGCCGCGATGACAATGATGAATCTACTGCTGCGGTGTTCAATCCTATGGATTCTAAGTGCCTTTGCCACGAAGGTACCTGCTTCAAGCTCAACGGCCTTCAGCTGTATTGCTAAGGCTGGGTAGCATTGTGGAGTTCCGTTTGACTTGTCTGCATGCGACTGTGCAGGAGATGAGTTTGCACCTGAGAGCCTGATGCCGCGGCCAAGCCGATCATCGGCACCAGAGGACAGATCCGAGACAGATTTGACAACATGACTTGCATCCCCTTTGGAGGGCCATGACAGCAAGCCGCAAACTCCGAAATTCAGGAGATGGGGGTCCAGAAGCACAAGGAACCAAGGCCTTCTGTGTGGTGGCTGCTTCGAGTTCCTTCGGCTTCATCTTTTTCCTGAGCATATGGACTTGTGCCTGTGGGGCACAACTGTGTCGCAAAGGAGCACAGGTATGCTGACACATAGCAGCGGCAGTATGAGGACATAACAGGACCTACCCAAAGAATACTAGACTAAACCTGCCGAGAGATTGCCACATGCACAAAGGCCTCTCGGATTTAACCGATTCAGCCGCTTAGGAAGGGTTCCCCCTTTAAGCCGAGCTGAGCAGGACAAAAGGGTGCAAGAGCTCCCCGAAGTTGTACAGCGTTCAGTTCAGATCCTCTGCGTTGGAAAAGTTTGCTTGTGGGGAAGGCTGCAACAGTGCCAGCAGGACCGCAAATCACAAAATCCTAGTAATTGAGCCGTCGTGAGAAGGGTCTCCCCTGAAGCCAAGATGGGCAGGACAAAGGGGCGTGTTCCCCGAAGTTGTACAGATTTGAATGTCCGTGAGTGTCCTCGTCGGCGGCCGAAAAAGTGAGCTTGGGGAGCCCTGGGACGTGGGGCTGTGCCAAGGTCCTTCGTCCCCACACGCAGAGCACAATGAACGGTATACAATATTTGCATGAGACAAGGCGCTGGGCTGCTCTCCATATCTCCTGACAGAGTCGTCCCTCCCTGGACTCTAGATCGCTTAATCCCAAATCGCTCAGTGCTCAGAGTCCCCTTTGGTGGCTAAGCATTTGCGGTGTTTGGCCTGAGAAGTGCGCAAAGAAATGTTCCCTGGAGCCTAGTAAAGCTTTCCTACCAGGCAGCTGGAAGCAAAAGGCCCCACAGAAACCCTGTAACCCTGTTAGCTGTTCAGGCCTGGAAGCAGGGAACCCATGTTCCGGAAGTGGCTCAAGAGTGGCCCAGCTGCACACTGACGGGGGGTGGGGCTTCTCAAATTTCCGGGGAGTCCTTATACAATGGTTCAATCGATTCAACCATTAACCGGGGGTCTGAAATTTGGGAAACTATCATGCCATCTTCTTTGACCTTCATCTTCATGATGAGGAGAGCTGCCATTCTTGCTGCTACCGCTGTGATTGCGGACACACACATAACTCAACCGCGAGAATTTGCCATAGCTATGCGGCCAGGCCTTCTCGCCATTGACACTTTTATTTTGGTAAGAAGAACAGCCCTAAACGCCACAACGTGATGCCTTTGCGTTCATTGCTTGATTGATGGCGTCAATAGTGCTGCTGCTGTTGCCGACTGCTGCCGCTGGCCCCGGCTGTTGCGGTAAGGTGATATGGTGGGGTGTCGGCGGTGGCGCGGGCGGTGGTGGTGGTATGGTGCAGGGGATCGTGCGTGCTAGTGATATTCGCTCCGCTCAGGTGCTGTGCCTTGATGTTGCAGTTGGCCGCAACCTCGGGAGATGCAGGCGGACAGCGAATTGTCATACTGACACAGCTGGTACTTTAAACAATGTTGTTATGATGAGCCGCACTATGGGCTATGGGGCCTGCTCATTGTCTTCCAAATTCAATGGTGCCTGACCCAGCCCCGGATTGGAATCTCATTTGCAGAAGTCCTCTGATGAGCTTGCCATCCACATCATATTCTTGCAGTGACTGGTTCTTATCTCTTGTAGTCCGTGTATAGGAGGAGGTCGTAGAGGTTATCTGTTGGCGGCAAAGTTGCATTCGTTCAACGCAAGTTCATGGTTCCTAAGTTTCATCCGGCAATCAGAAAGAAGCCTATCGTTTTGGGAGCTACGAGCATGGAACCAACGCGGCCCCAGAAAGAATTCTAGGCATTTATCACTAGCAAAGACGCATTTACAGCCCTTGAACATGGGCTGATACTGTAGTTTTGTCAGGATAGCGACTTGTGTCCCAAGGCGCCCCAACACGCAAGAGCTGCGGCCGCTGCTGGCGCAGCTGAGTGTGTTTGGATCCCAGTGCCTCTTTCTGGTACCATGGGTCAGAGGTTCAGTTGTTGTCCTGGCGTTTTCGGATTCCACTCTCATGCTGGTTGGTCATCGCACAGCCCAGTTTTCAGAAACCTCTCAGGATCTTTTAAGTACTCTGCGCAAGGCACCTTGCAACCCGCAAGCCTGCATCCCAAAGAGCCTTAAACATTGAGATCTTGAGGAGTTCTCCCTTCTCAGCCCCTGAGCCCAGCACCCTAAATCTGTACATCCTTTGCCTTCAGACGGCCAAACCACACGCCAGCCTACAAGCAGTTGTTGCGGTAGAGATTGCAAGGGTGTCGGAGCCTAAAGTGATGTGGCCTCTATGTAGAACCTCCATCCTTCGAGAATCCCCAAAGACCTATGGGTAGTTCCCAAAAATAAAAGGGTCCTATTTTGGGATCCCTAAAACTAAGGTGCCCTAATATAACCTATAACCGAAAAGGGCCCATAATTTTGGGAACCCCCCTATGCCCGAAGCTGAGGCCCTAAGCTCCTGGCAGCGCTGTGGTGCGGCTGCAGACGTGTCGCTGCGCGCGCCGGGGTGCCCAGTGGCATAGAGGAGAGGGGTTTGCAAAGCTTTGGGGGCTTTTTTTGTTCAGATTTTGGGGTTCAAGGTATTATCCATCAGATGTAGGCCTTGCGAGTTGTGGGGGTTTGCGATGGTTAATCAAGGGTCTAGGGTTTCAAGTCTAGTCTTTCGGGCGTGTGACCTAGCAACAGGGTTGCGGTTCAGGGTGGAGGGCTGCTTGCGGAGCAGGCAGGTGCGGGCTTGGAGAGGTTCGGGATTTTCATTAGGGTATTGCAGTGTTTTTGCTTCAGTGGCCTGGCCATGTCAGAGAAGCCGTCAAAGGTGGCAGTGTCACATCGATAGCGCAAAGCTTTGTGCATTGCAACTGTGGCCAACGACGAGCCAGAAGTGTATGCGAAGCTTGCAGCTGAGGGCACTGGTGCACGGCTTTGCGGAGGCCTTGCAAGCTGACCTGTGCGTGACCAGAAGGCCAATGTCCTTGGCGCCAGGTGTCTTCCCTATGCCTCCCGTTCTTTCCCGAGAAGCCGCAGGCACCTTTGCTTCTGCCCTAGATCAGAGTTAGTCTTCAGGTGGGAGGATCATTGTTGCGCTGTAGGTGAACTCTAGGGCAGCAGACTGCCAACCAGCCTTACGTGACTTCTATATGTGGCGCAGAGCACAAGTTCATCGGAAGCTTCTCAGCAGGTCTTGGCCAGGCTTGCCTGCGACTCTTGGCAGCACATTGGCTTCCGCCAGTTTAGTGCAACGTGGAGTACTGTGACCGTTCGCTCGGCTGGTGCCCTTGTCACAGCAATCTGGACACTGCAAGACACTGGCATGGCTTCTGCTATCATTTCTGTCCTCTGATGTACACCCCAACATGATCGAATCCCGAATACGTCCTTTTCCATTCTATTCTCAATACCTGGGTCAATACCCCATCAACCCCCACATGCAGCATATTCCCATATTAGCCCTGTATCATGGGATCCCCAAAGCGGGACCAGAGGACCGCCCTGGGCCGCTTAGAGCAACTAAGGAGAGCCTCAGAGCTTTGCTCACCTCGGGCCCAGAGCCGGTAATCTTTGCCCTTCTGAAGGTGGGGGCTCTAGGGTTTGGGGCTGAGGGGATTAAGGATTGAAGGACCCTAGGATTTAAGGTTTTTGCTTTAGGGACCCTAAGATCTGGGGTTTGGGGCTGGGGGTTTGGGATTGAGGGTTTAGGGTTGGGTGAGGCTCAGAGTCTGATGGTGAGGGGTTGTGTTCAGGGTTTATTGGGTCTTTGCAAGGTCGGTCCGGAGCTCAGGGCCTGCACCGGCATGCAAGATGCCATGCAATGGGAAGTAGTGAGGTGCGAACGTGCTCGCGGGAAGCTGTCAGAACCTATGGGAACCGCAAGCAAATCATGGTAACCTGGAACGTGTTTGCAGAACACCCGTGTTCTTTGAAGTGGGATGGTGGAAAGCAGAAGCGCAAGACAGTAAGAGCACCTAGACTGCTGCAAGATGCTTTGGGTCTAGGAGGTCAGAGATGACATTGATGTGCATGTGCTGCTACCATTTCACCCCTCTCAAGCTTCGCGCTCCAGAAGGGACGCGGCCAATCCCCCAAATGGCACTGGACGTGGCCTGGCTTCTTCACAGCCGGGGTGCTTGGACAGCTCTGCCTCAGCTGCAGAGGCACAGCCAAGAAGAGCCACAGCAACCGAGGGTGCCACACACGCTTTGCACGGTGAGGTGCTGGAGCTGGAATCCATCCCACTCGGCACCTTCATATGGAAGAGGCTCGGGGAGGCCTGTGCAGCGCTGTAGTAGTGAACGTGACCTGGGCAGTGCCAGGAGCGGCGGCTGCCAGCGCGGCCTTGTTTGCAAGCTTTCTGAACACTAGGAAGCTGACAAGCAGGACTGCGACTGGACTTGTGCAAAGCTCGGCTTCCATTCAGAAAGGTATGCAATACGGGCCTGTGTTTTCCACGTCGCAGTATATGACGCCGTGGTGTTGTGTATCTATGGTGCTCAGATTCTAACAGAAATCCTCAATCATCTTTATGTATTGTAACGTTTGAACAAACATCCTCTGGAAATATGGGAGGATGGATCCAGGGAAGCGAAGCTCTGAGAGACCAAGACCAGAGAGGGGGCAGCCAAAAAAAAAAAAAATCGGCTGCCCC